ATCATGCTTTTCATATAGAGAACTTGTTAGGAATAATTTGTTTGCGATGCATATTCATCCAATTCAATGATTCTAGGGAAATTTGAAGGTTAATTTAAGCGGACCTAATTAACTTGGAGTGTCGAGTTTCATAATTCATCGAAAGACCAACTGAAAATCAAATTGTATGCAAGTGTGACATGTGTGGAGAAGAACCTTCTAGCTAGCATTCATTCCATATTTCATCACATTCATATTTACATTCTGCATTTAAATTACAATCGTTGCATTTAGTTTAATTTCGTCAAAACTTCAATCCCCCTTTACCTTAGTGTCTAATTGAGTTAGAAAGTGTCTTAATTTGTGTTTCTAAGTGTTTTGCATTCTTTGAGTCTAGTTTAGTGTTTTTAACGTTTGTTTTACGTTTTTGAGTCAGTGTCCAAGTGATTTAGTAATCCCTCCTAATCCCCGGTCTAGAACGATCCCTACTTGCATCTTTACTACAATTGTCACAAGAGGGTTTTAATTTGTGTGCTTACTTAGTTCGCATCATAGTGACAAATGCATTCACAGGAGCAGCCTCCATGAATGGAGCAGTTTCTCAATCATTCTCCTCTCTGTTGTCAGTAAGAGCGCCTCAAGTGTAGGGTATGTGATTGGAGTATCACGTGCCTGAGCATCGTTCACTGTTATCTCATAAGCAAGACCCATATTGTTGAAGATAATATGGACAAGTTCATTATCCACAGGTTTGCCAGCTAAGGCAAGGTTATCAAAAATATCATTCATATGATCTAAATAATCAGCAATCAAAAAATCACCTTTCTTAGTTTGCAAAAGTTCGTTACAAAGAAACAGGATACGATTTTGGGACGTAGAGGCATATCGTTGCTCGAGAGCCTCCCAGGTAGCATGTGAAGTCTTTTTGCTGGCCACGACTGAGAGGACAGATGGCATGAGAGAGCCATTAATCCAGCTTAGCATCATTTGATCACGTTGCACCAATATTGTGTACACAGGGTTGGTGGTTGTACTTTTAAGAAGCTGTTTAGGAGGGCAAACAATGGACCCATCGACATAACCCATCAGGTCACGACTCTTGAGGATTGGTAGAATCTAAGCCAACCACAAAAGGTAGTTGGTACGATCTAGCTTAATGTTGACAACTGTAGTCATGGAAGAGAAGAGGTTCATGGTGGGATTGGAGTTTGTGGTTGTTATGGTTGCAGCGCCGTTGCTCGAATCAGCCATAGGGAAAAAAAATTCAAGATCTATGTTGTTAGATGCTAGGGCTCGTGTACCATGTAAAAACTCAAGTATGCTCAAGGTTTACTTCAATTGCATGCTCAATGAGAGGTTGCATGTATTTATATTCTACTTTAGATTACATCAAGGAATGAAATCCCTATTTACAAGGATATTCAAAATTCAAAACTACAACAGAAATGATTTAAACTTCAAATATACAGTAAACAAATATTTGAAAGAGTTTGAAACTAATCTAACTCTTGTTGGATAACTCTTCTACTCGATCACAAACTCCTGAAGACTCGTAGAGACTATGACTTGGTCTAACACCTGGAAGTATTTTGGGATTTGTTATATGAATTGGAAGTGGGCTGTTACGTAAGTTGCAGAAAATTGATTTCTTTGCATAGAAAACTCAAGTTTCGAGTAGCGTTCTTTGGCTCTTAATTTCTAGGTCTTTATGTGCTCATTTGGAGAAAAATTTAGTGTGTTGAAAGTATATATGTTCATGATCGTAATCCAATTGTTTTCACTCAGTTCCGTTGAGTTTTGGTTGATCAAAATCTTATTTAAACTTGGGTCGCGAGCTGCCAAACAGCAACAGAAAACTGGGTTTCTAGTTTCAAGACTCCATTTTTATTTTTGGCATAACTTCCAATTTAGAGCTCCGTTGTCTACAAACTTTATATACTTTTAAAGTATAGAACACAAGCTTCAAAACCCATATAATATTACATGATTTGGTTTAGTTTTGAATGTTCCAAAGGGAGCTTAAGCTTGGTCCAATAGTGCTGTTTTTCTGCAGATTTTGTAGAGAAGTAGAGTACTGTTTTTACCACACCTATTTTCTTTTCAAGAGTCCTTTCTAATCTTCTTTACTACTAGTTAATATTACTTGAGTTGTAAGATTCCAGAATCAGTGTACTTTCTTTAGATAACATTAATTTTGTGATTAAACACTTAGTTTGGTTATCAATGTGTGTTACTTGTATTTATACTTTTGATTGTACTTTTGTGTTTCGATTAGGTTCAAAGGAACAAAATTAATCGAATTCAAGGTAGGGGGTTTTGGGAAACCTTATATGTATTAATCTAATTACTGCTTACTTTTGGTCAATATGCTACGAATTGATCTTAAATATTAAAATCAGTATTACTAGAGACTATGTAGGGCTTAGTGGGCCTATATTGGTTAGTGAGTTACCCCATATAATATATACATCGGTTTACGTGTATGGGACATCATATTGTGACATATTAGTTGGTAGCCATGAGAAGTTGATGGTGTAGGTGATTACGTTGTAACTCATAAGGCTTGAGGGATGGTAGGTTGTGTGTTGAATTTACTGTATTGTTTTTCATGAAGATTGTGATTGGTGCTATGGGAATGAATCATCCATAAGCATCAAAGTTAGAAAATTCGAGTTCTAAGACATGGTTTTCATGAAAAAAATGGGGTTTTCATGGGTGCATTGTTTTATGAAAATTTCGGGTTTCAAAGGCACTAAATTTGAAGCTACAGGTTCAATTTAGTTTATGAACGTTTAATTCATAAAAGAAAGGTTCCTGCAAGAACACAGAATGCAATATGCTGATTTAAGTGTAGTGGATTTGAGGTTGCTTCAGGAACTCAAGTGTGAGTGCTTTGGGACTACGAAAGTAAGTCAATGATTCAAAGTATAAAAATAAATTATTGAATCGTTAATGTCCAAAAGTGATCTTCAGGTCAATAATTTTGGATTCATTATCAGATTAATGGACTGCAGGTCTCTTTTAATTAATTTAATAGTTCGGGACCATTCGAGGTCAATCGTAGAAGCAAAAATAATAATAACATTTGGGTTAAAATTATTTAAAATGCCAAAAAAATAGCATTGGGTTGAAAAAGAATGCAGCCCAACACACTTTGGTTGGTTGTAATACACGGCCTTGCAAAAATTGCAGGCCTTGGGTTACATTACACGGCTACACAATAGCCCAATTTGATTGTAGATCAGCGGGCCAGGAGACAGAGCCCATCAGTATAAGGGCTGTAGGAAGTGTGGCATAAGGTGTGAGCAAAAGCCTAGCCTGGGCTAGCTTTTGGGTCAGAGGTTGCGGGCTCGAAGCCCAGCATCAAGGAACCCAGTCAGTCGGGGCTAGTCCAATACATGCAACAAAGCCCAAAGGCCTGTTACCTTATAGTTCCAACGCCCAAGGCTCGAGTTGTAGGCTTGCCTTGGGGTGAGTTTGGCATGACGGCACGCAGCTCAACGATAAATTGTTTTTTTTTTTTTTTTTTTCCTTTCGACATAGTTAGGGTTTGACAAACCCTAAATTGCTTCTAATTTATTTATATTCTTTGACTCACAAATTCCACATAGCATAATTGCGTAATGCATGAAACAAATATATGAAACATATACAATATATATATATATATATATCGGAAGGTAAATATAAATGTAGGGGGTTCATGCATCATGGGGAATGTTTTCATGCTACATGGTCGTTTCAAATATCTTACTTTATTTTAAGCATACCTGATTGGCAGAAAACAACAAAAGCCTTTGAATTTGTAGAAGATCCTTCTTAGAAAGCCAGAATTGCATCTCCAATGCGTTGTATCATGTTCAACAAAGAAAAATTAAATTGAATCAATAGCATGTAGATCAATTCAAAATAATAAATTAATCACAAAATGAATGATTAAAACGTAATACTCCCCTAATTGAAGAATAAACTCTCTTGTTAGTGCAGTGTCAAGAGCGTGCTGATAATATGTTGTAGACATAATTTACTGAACAATTATGGAGGCCATAATTGAGAGAGAAAGGTGCGGCATAGAGAGTGCTGATAATGTGTTGTAGACATAATTGTGAGTGTGTTTATTTCAACCCATTGTGCCTTTATTTATAGTAGTAGGATAGGTAAACCTTTTCTTTTAGGATTACAACGTTTAATAGGTAATCTATTCCTAATAGGAATATAATATACATTCTCATATCTACTAGGATTTACACATTCACATTTCTAATATAATCGGATTGCAACACAAATAAGGTTATTTAGCCACTTGTTTTTTGCTTTGAAAATTTAGTGTTTCATCGACACACGAGGTTCGTCGATTTTATTGGTTATAGTTGGATAACTAAACTCTCTCTCTGATTAGGGAAATTTTGCGATGATCTTTGATTGACATCAAAATGATTGATTTATATCATGAGAAACCAATGCTACGTTGTTTAATTATCAAACTGCCTATTCTTTAGAATACAATTAAGAGATAGTTTTCAATGTAATCGGAACACAAGATAATACATCACGTGTCATAGTTTAAATAGAGAGTTATTATAAAACACATCTTAAAGCGGGACATATCAACTCTGTAATCTATTTATATCATACGAGTGGTATACTACTTTGTGTTTCGAGCACACATAAAAATTTCTCCACCATTCAAAGATAGTTTTTACAAAGGAAATAAATTATATTGTCATTTATTTCTCCACCATTCATATGAGTGATATACCACTTTGGGTTCATATTTTAGGAATGTAATCTTAGAGAGACAAAATTTTTAAACCAAATGACCTAGTTGTTTATAATTAGATTATGAGTAGTGCTACGGAGACTAAAGGATGTGTCACTAAACCCTAATATTACTCTTAAATTATTACTTAAATATTGATTAACGTACTTATTTTTTATTAGAAACACATCCTTTAATTTATGAATTTGATTTAAAAATTTGGTGTCCCATCGGCACGTGACCTCTAAAGCCCTTCTGTAGACAAAAGATACAGAAACACTTGAAGCTGCTATTTCGCGAAACCGCACTCTCCCTCTCGCATTAACACACACAGCAATGGCGACAAGCTCACGGGAAGAGGCCAAGCTCGAACGATTCCTCCATTGGTTACAGGTTCCTACAATTTCCTATGTGAAATCATTCACTAATCAATAGTGCAACTGGGTTTTGTTTTTTATCATTTGGGTTTTCAAATTCAGGTTAATGGAGCGGAGCTACGCGGGTGCAAGATCAACTACTCCGATTCCAACAAAGGGTTTGGCATTTTTTCGGCTAATGATGTTTCTGATGGTAACCCACTTCTTCCTTTTAGGGATCAGCAAACTGGGTTTTTGTTTATCTATGTTTTGAGTGTCAGAAGCTGCATTCTTTGAAAACCATAAGGGCAAAATTAACCGAACAACTCGATTTTATGGGTTTCTTGGGTTGGACAAACCTTATCAACTCGAACTTATGCTCAAATTTTGGGCAATTTGATAAGTTGAGTAAACATGGACTTGATTTCTTAACCCGAACAAAAGGCAGGTAACTCAAGCAACTGGATATAAATATATGGGCTATTTACATACTATATTTTGTGTCAAACAGTAATTGTTCCTGATTTATCTTGTTCTTTGTCTAGTTTAACTATAGATATAACGAAAGGATTGAAGATGATTGAAATGTATTGATTACCATAACTACTTAGGTAAACAGCCATTCACATTTAGTACCGAGGTAAACAGCCACTCACATTTGTTCATTTTAGTTATACAAGATTTTTTCGTAATTGTTTTTTTTTGCAATCTGCTCAGCAGCTTAAGTACTATAATTTGGAAACCGGAGAAAGTCTCTTGGGCATATACATAACCCCCAGGGGCTACTTCATTTCTTTAACTTCCTTATTCAGCCAAACCGTTCATGTCCACCCCTAAATAAGAATCCTTGGGTACAAATAGATTTGTCATGTGTCCTAATAAAACCACCTTGTAAGGGGTTCGTCCTTAAAATTCATACACCAGTTTGGGATATTCTATTTTTCTTTTTAATGTGGGAAATTCTAAGGTGTAACAATCTTATATTTGGAGCATAATTTTGATTTATTTTGGGAAATAAATATCAGGGGTTCTATTAGTTGTTCCTCTGGATCTAGCAATAACTCCGATGAGAGTTTTGCAAGACCCTCTTCTTGGACCAGAATGTAGAGCAATGTTTGAAGAAGGAGATGTAGATGATAGGTTCTTGATGATCTTATATCTCACAGTGGAGCGCCTCCGCAAGAATTCTTCTTGGAAACCGTATGTATAGATTTCATTTTGTTGAATTATCAAAACCAAAATTTCTCACTTCTTTGGTAGTTAAGCTTCTCTTGGGTGGAAGATAACATCAGGTACCTTGATATGCTTCCGACCACTTTTGGCAATCCACTTTGGTTTACTGATGATGAGCTTTTGGAGCTAAAAGGGACAACATTGTATCGAGCAACGGAACTGCAGGTAAAAGATTTTTGGGCAGATGGCCATCATATTTAAATAGTCAAATGTAGGTTGTATATACACATGCCATCTGACGTGGGAAACTCCATCCAATGATGGCTTGTTATGGTTCTTCTAAGATGGTGAAGGTATAGATAATATGTACAATATGTTTTAGAAAAATTTGCTTATGACTTGCCAACAAATGCTTTTAATTTTTAACTAGTATTCAGGTGCGCAGCAGACTTTTAAGTTGGAGTTTAATTTTTGTGATATTGGTGCTATCATTTATTGGGATTTTAGGTTAAATTTGTATTGATGTTCATGCTGGAAATTATATGTATATGGTTTCACAACTTTTTCACTCTAAGCTCATTTGGCTTCCCAGCAAGCATGCCAAAGTTTTGTTTGATTTATATGGTTTTACAAAGTATCTAGATGTCAATGTTGATATATAGTTCTGTCAAATAGGGTTTAAGTAGTAATATATCTGACCAAGGATGGGTTTATCTTACAGAAGAAAGCTTGGTGTCTTTATATGATAATAAACTGAAGGCTCTGGTGAAGAAACTGTTAACTCTGGACAGGGATTTGGAAAGGTGTGTAAATATATTTTAGAAATCACAGATGTAGCGTATGATACGAATGATTGGTTTAGAAATAATTAGTTCCATTCTTTTCTTGTGGTGCTTGTCGTGCCCAGTCTTGTGACTATTTCCTAACTAGTGTTGGATCAACAAATATATAGCAGCTGTTGAAATCTTGTGAAAGTTTGGTCAACTGGAAAACATTATTTGGTTATATAAGACTATTAGAATGTAGACCGCAATTTATCATGGAATCTATCCAGTTGGTGGACATATGAAGTTTCATAGTTTTTTCATCATTTAGTATTCCGGTATGTGCATGCTTATTCTACTGTCAATGAATTGATCATCTCTTTAATGGTCAGACTCTTGAAATATGGTATCTTATGGCAGACTGTCCAATTTTTTCATGCTATTAAGCATTCCATTGTCATTATGTTACAAGTGAATGAGGCGTATACTCTTGTAAGATGCTATGTAAAATTGCATGTATAATAACATTCAGAAGGATAGACATTCGAATAAGTTATATGCATCCTAAGAATTTACTATGATTAATTACTGATCCTATACAATACCTGTTCTTTCGTTTTCAGAGATGTGTGCTTTGAAGATTTCCTCTGGTAGGTACCATCTTTGCAAATAATCTAATGATTTTTAAAATTGAATCCTCTCCTTAATAATTTCTTCATGGTGCTTTAGACTTTGTTCCTTATGTTTTACAATTGCTGTCATGCTAGGGCAAATTCTCTTTTTTGGACCCGTGCTTTAAACATTCCCCTTCCATATTCTTATGTATTTCCCAAAATTCAAGAAGGCAGTGCTTCAGATGGCAAAAATATTGAGGTTTCTACTAATATTTGCAAAGAAGAGTTGGTTAATGGCAAAGATGAAAAAGGTTAGGTCAATTTTTTCCCGTGACTAATTTCTCATGCCAAATCTTCAGATATACTTTATTAGTGTGTACTAGGTGCTTGATTTGGTATTTGTTGATACAAAATATTTCTGTTTATTCTAACATTAGTGATTTCTCTATTTAGGATGTCATGTTGAAGGGATTGATATTCCAGTTAGTAAAGCGACATCCACGCCTAAACAAAAAGAGACTGTCTGGGTTGAGGGTCTTGTTCCTGGCATTGACTTTTGCAACCATGGTATGCCAGTTGCTTATCAAGCGTTTGGAGAGTCTTTATTCTGTAAACCTTGCTGAAATATGTGGCTCTTCAGATATAAAGGCAGCAGCAACATGGGAAGTTGACGAAACTGGATCGATAACTGGAGTTCCTAATTCTATGTATCTTCTCTCGGGTAGCATTCTCTTAATATCAGTTTCTCCTTTTTCCTTTTTCCTTTTCTAGCTGAAAAAGTAACTGCGTATTTAATTACACACTCATAATATCTTGTATTGGTTTCATAACACAAGTTTATCTCATCGTGGCTGTTGCTATTGAATTTTTGCAGTACTTGTTGTCGCTTCTTTTATCTTTTTATACTTAGCAGAGTTTTAATCTCATCACATAAAAGTATGTAAATGTGACAGTTTCTATGATTTGTTACTATACTTGTTTTCTTGGGTTTCAGGGATAATTATACTTGTTTTCATTTCTGTTCTTTGGTCTAATTAGCTAGGCTGTTTTACTTACCATGATATTCTCTCTCTTCAATTGGAAAGCTGGACAACCCTTGCAGGTTGACGCAGAAATTTCCATAAGTTATGGTAGCAAAGGGAACGAGGTACAGTCTGGTGTCTCTTATTTTTTCCTTTGTTTCTGATACCGAAGTTACTTTTAACATTGTAGTTCTCGTACTCTGCATACCTCCTAACAGGTGCCACCAGACTCGGCCTTCATCCTAGTAACTTACATAATCTCGTCAAAATGGTTGCCTGTATTGCATTGAATGTCAACATTTTCATGCATTGAGCATACATTCTTACTTAGGCCTATGAGTCCTACTGATTTCACTTAGTTCTGACGTGCCATCGTTGTTTATTTGTTCAGAAATCTTATTTTTCTAGTTTAAATTGATGAAACTACTTTTTCTTTGCTATCCCATATCTTGTTTTCCTGATCCATTTTATCATTTAAAAAGCTCGATCAACTTTCTGAGTCTGAGCCCTTGTCTGTGTTTGATGCAGGAACTACTTTATCTGTATGGTTTTGTCCTTGATGGTAATCCAGATGACTATCTCATGGTAGTGCCTCTATGTTGGAATATCTTGTGACTTGTCTTGAATGCTCATTGGTTTCTTAAATTACTCATTCACAATAGTAATAATGTCTTAAATATCCAGAGAAACTTAAATTTGACTCTATTTGATTTATTCAGGTTCATTATCCAGTAGAAGCCATTCAAAATGTTCCCTTTGCTGACTCGAAAGCACAGCTTCTCGAAGCACAGGTCAGCTATTGTCTCTTTCTGAATTTCATTAAGAAAGAAAATAAGTAACGCGATTGTAAATTTAATGGCATACACGGAAATATTTCTTATTTTTTTTGTTTGTTTCCAATGCAAATTTGCTTCATTATTCATAAACCTGGTTGTTCACAGAAAGCTGAAATGAGGTGTCTGTTACCTAGAAGTTTACTGGATCATGGCTTTTTCCCAGTAGGCAACTCAACTACTGAAGGAAGTGAGAAGTGCAAAATCGACCATGTATGCAGCTATAGTTGGAGTGGTCAGCGAAAGATGCCATCGTACTCACACAGGTTGGTTTTTCCTGAAAGCTTTTTGACAGCCTTGAGGACTATAGCCATGACGGAGGATGAGCTATTTCAGGTTTCATCGCTGCTGGAAGAGGTAACAGTTCTGCAGCTATGTATTTCCTTCCATCAAATACCTTTGCCATTTTGAGTTTTTAACTTTTTAGTCATGGTGTATACTACCTGTCAAGTGTCTAATTATATACTTAATATTGTTTCAATCGGCCTGAAGTTGCAATGCACATCTGTTTCGAATCATTTACTTCCCTGATTAATATCCTAATTAAATTTATTTTATCTTGAAGCTTGTACAATCAAGAGAGGGGAGGCAACCATCTGATTCAGAAGTTCAAGCAGCAGTATGGGAAGCTTGTGGTGATTCCGGAGCTTTGCAAATACTCGTTGATCTTCTTAACATGAGGTAACTAGTAGGAACCATGTGTTATTTAGCAATGTATTAAGATCAACTTCTCGATCCGCATGCCTATATACATGCTACTTTCAGAAGAGTTGTATTATTAGTTGCCTAACCGGATTTCCAACACGCAAGGATGACGGATCTTCAGGAGTCTTCTGGTACAGAGGACAGCGACACCATTTTGCTTGAAAAGACACGTATTACTGAAAGTGCAAACCAGCAGAACGAGAACAATTTAAGGTACCATCTTCGCCAAAATGACTCCTCTCTCATGCAATTTAAGGTACCATCTCCGCCAAATTTTACTTCGGTGTTCATGAAAACTTAGCTGCACCACGTTTATCGATTGAGGATGGTAAAAAATTGGGTGACTTTGGATGCGGATCCTATTTATCAATGTTTTTTTATTGAAATCTTGTTGGTTTTTTATTTTTTATTGAAGTTCCTGAAATAAATGCGTATTTCTATGTAGGTTATTAAAATTTTTAAATTAAAATTTGATATTTGTAGTCATTTATATTAATGAGATTTTAAATAAATTCCATAATTTGTTGAAAATATTAAAAGAAATTATACTTAAATAAAACCATGATTTGTCATTACTTATATTAATGACATTTTACATACAAAAAATTAGTAATTTTTATACGATGCATTTTACATACAAAAAGTTGGTACATTTTATACAAAAAATGGTGATACGTTTTATATAATGGGTACATTTCATATAGAAAAAAACAATGGGTACATTTTACACAAAAGAGATGGTACTTACAAAAAAACAAAAAAAAAAACGGGTACATTTTTACATATAAGTTAACAAAGTGGTGCCTTTTTAAAGACAAATGGGTACATTATTAATAAATTATGGGTACAAATAAAAGGTCAAAAAAATATGAGTACAAATAAAAGTTTCAAAAATATGGACACAAAAAGAAATTAATATATGGGTACAAACTAAAGCTGAATAGAAAATTGGCACAATTTAAGAAAAAAGGTTGCGAATTAAAATGGGTACAAACTAAAAATAAAAATATATGATACAAAATTTAGTCATAAATATAAATATATCAAATGTAACGTTTCTAACACTAAATGAATAATTTTGAAATAAATATATCAAATGGAACCTAATTTCTCCTAAAAAAATTATTGTCATGTCATTCAAATTCTAGGATGTGATAGAGCAAAAATCCTACAAATAGCATTGAACTGATTTCCTGTTCTAACACGAGAAGGAGCCTTTGAAATTCGAAGTTTTTCATGCGTTGTTTAGAAGTAGGAGCTCTTACAAACTACGAAATCTTGTTACCGTGTTATGGAGCCTATCTGGCAAGCTTCCGCATTTCTGCAACATATTCATCTTCTCGTGCGTTTTGCCTATTGAAGCACTCAATATGTTTGTGTTAATCTTGGATTTCCTTTTTCTGTTGGTGGCTGCAGTGGAGGGACGGACGGCGTTGCACGACACAAGTCGATGACTCGAAACGTGTGGTCTAGTATAATTTATAGACGGGGGCAGAAGCAACTCACTCGACTGTTCCTCAAGGAAGCGGAACACGCCCTGCAATTAGTCCTCAGCGAAGGGAACTGACTGTGTGTTAAATCATGCAAGCCTTAGTTTCCGATTTGGGATGTTCGTAATAAAAGCTCCTTCTGTACACAGCTAGAAGCCTAGAAGTGCTTTCTGAACCGGCTAGTGCTTGTAATTATTCTTTTTGGTTCATGCTAGTCATTATTTGTTTCCCGCATCCAAGTAATGGCCAAAGTTTTGCTTCCCAACTTCTTTGGTTACTAGTCTATGTAAACTTAGAGACATGTTATTCCACAGTGAAATGAAAATACCAAATTATGGCAGTTTTGGTGCCTGACAATCGTCCATGCAAGCGGGTGGCTGTTTTGATGCCTGTACTGCCCACAATGTGGCGCCAGCTGACAGCCACCAACCATGCGCATGGGCGGCTATTGGTTGTTGATTCACTGGGTACCCACAATGCAGCAACACAGCCACCATGGACCGTCACCACTGTAGCTCTAGACTTTCACGGCAACTCTGTAGTTCATAGCCCCCACAAAAGGCCTCCAAATTTGTTCAAACGAAGCAGCCTTCTTTTCTTGTGTGCTGTCTTCAGGCCTCTAGGCCAGCTACATTCTTAAGTGTCCACCCTACTGCATACGGAGCGGCTGCAGCAATGGCGCCATTGAAGAGAGTAATCGCCACAGAGAATGCATAGTTCTGGCCTGCAATCTTGGCCTTGGTAATCCCCAGAAGCGCGAGGGCAATTGCAGACAGGACACAAGCACCAACAAACTTAACTGAATCGTTGTTTGTAAACGGAATGAGGACGATGAATGATAGGAGAGGAGCACTGCCAAACACAAGGAAGGCTGGAAATGTGGCAAGGCCATTCTTCCACGACTTTTCTGCTTTATCGGGCGGCAGCATTCCTTGAGCCACCATCTTCTCCCGCACCAAGATGTTATTGTATTTTGCAAAAATGCTCACAACCTAGTACAAAGTAATGAACAACTTCATATATTTAGTCCTTAGCACAAATTAAGTATTTGCTTTAGATTATGCAGGAAGGGCAAGCATACCGTGGCGGCATCATCAACGTCCATCCCGAGTTCTTGATACTTTTGGAGCAACTCCATTAGCTCGGGGCCATTCCGATTACCGACATCCCATTCAGTTACCGCTCTTTGTTTAGAGGCCACTTCCTTTTCACTGTTGCTAGATGTAAAATCTCCAAACCCCATCGATATTCCATCTGCCACAAGGTTTGCAAATCCAAGCACCAACACATCCACTACAAAACACAGTAGTTGGAGATGAATAAAGATGCTAATTAATGTAGTCACCTTGGTGGGTGTGTGTGCGTGTGTGTATGTTCCAGTTCCACACTAGAAAGATGTTATTTCACCTGGCTTCTGATTTCGTAATCCTTTTTTGAGTTGTAAAACACTAAACAAAATTTGAGAAAACTTCAGGAGTACTAATGGATTCGTCAATACCTCTTAACTCTTTTAACTATAATTATTGGCTACAACCAGTTGTATTCAACCATGTCATTATTTGTCGTGTCGCGTGATTATCTATGACAAATAAACAAGTGCTTATGTATAATTGCTCTTATAAACCATTCAACTTAGAGAATCAAATGACAATTCATCAAATCAACAATGTCGATTATACAAGCAAATTCTAAAGGTCATAGGAAAAAAAAACCAAGCATGCATTTTACACATTTTCTTTGGATACATATGTTTCTGAAATTAAAATGAAAGAAGAAGGAAGGATAATGAGACAGTTAATTACCGGTGGAGATACGACTAGCAGAGATGGAAGAAATGAGAGAGGAGGAGGTGATGATGGCATCAAGACCTGCATACAAAATGATGTTGGCATAGTCTCCTTTCCATGGCTCTTTTGGCCTCTCACTTCTAACTCTTCTTCTTACCACCATCACTTCAAATACTTCCATTCATAACATCGTCGTCTGATTCGATTAGCCTGCTATAATCTGTATCTGCTATTGTTACCGTTTTACTGTCTACAATCCAAGCTTTTTCCACAGTTTCATGCATTAGCTCGGATATTAAATAACTCACAATCAAGGGTTAACAAAGATAAAGGGAGTGAAAAAAAAGAGAGGGTGTGTCAGGTGTCACTGGGCATGCAAGTCGTTTGACATGTTGCCACCTGTGTTGTTTTGTTGGTGGTGGTAAGTGGATTTGGATCCTCGCCAAATCCCTTCTACGGGAATTTTGGATTAACGTACGTGGACTGTTGATCAAAAAATCATGCGGCCATAATCAAATCTTTTTTTATATTTTTAAAAGTAAAGTAGCCTCGTTTTACATGAAAAATATAATAAAGGAAAAAATTGTGACCATACGATTTTTTATCAATGGTCCATGTGCATTGATCCCTAGGATCCAGAGGGAGGGGATCCAGTGAGGATCCAAATCCGTGGTAAGTATATATGAGTGGTGAGTCTGCCTCGTGGCCTGTCTGCCTAAAAAAGTACATGAGTTGAATGTTTAAAAATGAAAATTTTGTAAACTTGATGATTTAACTTTGGTATACAAATTGTGCTAGAAAGATTCCGACCAAAAAATTTGTATAAAAATAGAGGGCTAACTACATTTTACCTCTTTACAAGTTTCAGGTGATTCTAAATGTATCATGATATTCTAATTTCTTACATTGTTCAGATTTAAAATTGTCTCAATTAACACTTTTTACATATTTGAATGCGTTTATTCACTAAATTGATGAGTTTTTAGTAAATATTGTGAAAATTCAGTTTATATATTAACTGGTCATGGATCTCATGCGCACTATGTCATTAATATAGCGACAATTTGAATAATTTATTAAATAAAATGTTCACTAAATTGATGAGTTTTTAGTAAATATTGTGAAAATTTAGTTTATATATTAAATTGTTTCATGGATTTCATGTGTAAATAGCTACAATTTTAAAATCTTAAGGAGTAATGTGAAAAAAATAAAACCTGCAGTACATTTTGAAAATGACTTTAAACATAAAAAGTACGAAATGTAGGTAGTCCAAAAATATATATGATCAGTTGAATGGGAGGTGGTTTAGAAGTTTTCTTCAGTAACCTCACGAGAGACCGTATTTGCGATTGAGATGCGTGTAACCTGACTGCGAGGTTGCATTATCAACTAAAAGTGAATAATATTTGAACGTAGTTTTAATATCATATTTTAACGATGAGTTATCATGTATCTTTGATCACCAGGTAACTAAAAGATAACACACTAGCATGTGTGTGTACGGAAATGGTTTTTGCAAACTTTTTTTTTTTTTACTCACCTACATATTTATGTTCCTTAATTCATAAATTTGAACACTAATCTCTTCACCTCCTTAGTTGAATATTAGAGTGTGCAATGAATAAGACTACATAATAATAATAAAATTATTAAATAAATATGAATGCTGAAACGACTATAAAAGGTTACATCGTGACGCATTATCATTCTACAAATTACAAAGCATCGTATGTATAAAGAACTAACCTAATCCGAATAGGTAAGAAAATGAATCCCTAATTTAGCGGGCTAAGCTCAAAATTCAAAAAACAAAATAATCCTAAATTCCAACCCTCTTCACCACCACACAATCGAAATATGGGTCCATTCATAATTTTGTTAAATTCATATCTAGCTAATTTTGCCAAACTCATGTATGCGAAATTTTGAATATTTAAAAAATGAAAAAGGATCTTAATTAGTGCTATGATCTAATAATATTCTTTTTTTTTTTAATCATAAGTAAGTTTAAGTTGATTTGCATAAATGACGAGTTTTGTGTACAATTTTTGCTATTCATTGCAAGATTTAGCTTGATCCCCACCCTCCAATGTTATTGTACAAAAAAAAGTTCCAGAAGTTATCATATCTAAATCGGTCCGAAGTGCCCTAATCTAATGGCAATGGCCCAAACGGGCCCAATCTACATAGACAGTGAGTGGTAATAATTTTTCTGGTCAACCATTAGGGAGGGGTCTTCTATTATATAACAAGTTATACTCTAATCCATATGATTCTAAATTTTACTAAACATTGACTTATGACTTACGAGCTCATGCCTTTGTGTAGTTCAACTTGTTTAATTCTTCAAAAAAAATTATAAGATGTATCCGTTTTTTCTAAAATATTTAGCTTTTGTGTAATTTGACTCGTTTATTTTTTCAAATTTTCTCGATTTGTATGTTTTGACTTTCAATTTTTCATCCTTTGTACTTGGTTGATTCTAATCAATAATATAATTTTGGCTTTGCTGAAAAGAAAAAAAAATTTAACTCTAAAGTATAGTTACATGGTTTTTTTCTCATTTGTGCTAAGCATCAATTTAATAAAAAAATTTGTCCCTTCCTTCAACGTTGAGCAAAGCAAAAATTATATTATACTCTTAAGGCATCCTATACTCCAGGGTTTTGTAACCGTTAGATTTAAATCACTGTATATTTGACCAATATTATAACAGTCAAAAACCCCAGAGTATAAGCATGCAATATACTTTTTGCGTCACTAGGAGTAAATGAAATTATACTTTTCAACATAAATTAGTAAACAAGATCTGAAAGGCTAATCTAGGCTGGGTGCAATCAATTTAGATTTTAATAGACCTTTTTGAGAGACTGATTTTAAAAGAATTCTTGAATTCACAATCGTTAAAATCCTAATAAATTTTTACCATTCTCACTGCACCTAGACACGTGTGGACTTTCTAAAAATCTTAATTGACGAAAACATTCACGAAATTCAGCTTGAGAGTCCAAAACATTCACGAAAATAACTAACACACAAAAATATAAAGAAATTAAAAAAAATAAATAAATAAAAGAAAGGACACAATATAAAGAAGTAAAATGAAGATAAAAAATAAAAATCCATAGTTAGTGTTCTTATTTGGCATAATTAACATTTGCTAAATAGCTGCTGATAAATGAGGAGCCAAATGAAGCAGGTTGTTATTTCAGACCAATTGACTCTTTTCTTCAATTTCTCCGGCATTTTCTAGTCGGATTCTTTCGTTTTCGGTCGGAGCAGGCTTTGAAGTCTTGGTCTTGGAAGATGAGGTTGAAACTCTCTGGCATGGTTGATTTTCAGGCAAGAGTTTCAGGGTGATCCCCATACCTATGAGCAGAAGTCCGGTCCCGTGTTCTTCCGTTAATGGCTTCGTGAATATCAAATATGACAGCAGTAACGTGACGGCCTTTCTAGCCGTTGTGATCTGTCATAAAAACAAGGGATTCAATGAAAATACTTAAAAAGGAATTTATATAACTCACGTTTTACTACATGTTTGTTCGTCGTGCATATGATATTTAATGTTGCCTAAGAAACGAGACTCTTGCTTTGAAAATGCCATTTTAAAAAATAAATGTGATTTCGAGATATTTATAACAAGTTATGGTACCACAATACATTGACATATCTAGGCGAAAATAGACGTGAGACAAGAATGTACCATGGCTGTGGTGGCGGCACCAAAAAGAGCAATGAGGGAAAGGACGGAGACTTGGCCGATAAATGTGGCCATGGCTTCGAAGACTAACACGCCATACACGTATGGATGCTGCACAATACCAAAAGATTTGTTAGAAACTGTGAGGCTTGTATGAGGCGTGTAACATGGTGGAATCGAAGGATTTTTGGATTGTAAGTTACCTGCCAACATGAGCTCCATGCTCTGAATAATTCCCCTGTCAAAAGCATTGGTGGAATCAACAATGGCAGACCGACCACTGTAGAGCAAAACAGCATCTCCATCTATGGATAAGGATAAAAGCGAGCACAAAAGTATATGAGCAGTCACACTTTTTTTATGAACAAGTTTCGAGTTCACGTTTAAACACCCACAAATAGAATCTAAGGAAATGAATGTCACCTGTGTGGTTTCGGGATTCATGGTAAAGATAGCTTCTTGCAAGTTACCCAAAAAGGAATCCATGATTAGAGCACCCGATACCATCACAACACCAATCACGCTGAAGTTTGGAGATGTTTGCGCATCCGCTAAGGTGAATAGGATCAAGCCAACCACCAAAAGGAGTGCAGAAACGTATTCGTGAGGTGGGTATTTTCGTCTCAAACCTGGTATGAAGGCTCCCATTACCATCACAGGCAGAACCTGAAAAACCAAAATCATGAACCTAACATCAGAAAACCGACAGTAAAAAGTAGACGTCACTTCCAATTCCCGTCGATAGCAATCGACTATAGGGAAATTTCACCATTGTATTACTCAAAGTATAAACTAGCTTTAACAAAGTGACATGTTTTACGTAGTTACTTGGCTAAAAACGCAAATCAAACTCTTTAACTCTGCACACCCCACTCCCGGGAAAAAAAGAAGAAGAATGGTCTCAAATCTGCCCCTCTAAACAAGTGATTGTTTTTACCTCTCTTTTTTCACACTCAAATTTTATCCACACTGAATAGTTATCCAGCTAAAATTAGCTGCCTGAAGTGAAAAACCAAATTACCATATTAAATTTCATGGAATTTAGCGTTTACCTTTGTCGATTTGAACATGAGCTGCGCCGGATAGTTGAGAAAAGCCAAGGAGCCTTTTGTAAGTCCATGGGACCCCATAAGAACAGCAGAAAGCTTCACATAAGTCTTCCACGGATTCACCATTTGCTTGGTGGTGAAGCCTTGCAAGTAAATCAGAAATAGATACACAAATCCTTGCACAAATGTGAAGTACCAACCATAGCTGCAACAAGAAATACACAATAAACATAAACAAACAGGTCCTAATTGAAAAACCCGAATTCGAACACTTCCAAAATTTAAAAAAAGAAATACCTGAATTGTAGCCTGTTATACACATATTCCTGAAAATTAGCCAAAAAAATATGATTCAGTTGGCAATTAAAAGTTGAAAATTTCGAAAATTCGATTACTTTTGAGATACACTGTTCCAAATTTTAAAAAACACAGACCAAAATTATTTCAAAATTGATCTTTTGATTCCTCAAAAGTAAACTCATAAAATAAAAAGACCAATGGTCCCAAAACCAAACGGAGGATTAAGGTTTTCATTTTATATTTGTTTTCTCAACTTTCTCACCAACCAAACAAGAGATAAAAACAGTAAAATATTATTAAACCAAAATCATAAACCTGCTATGAACGAAAGTAATTCCCTTTTTTTTTTTTTTTTTAATGTAATTCCTTGCTCAGAAGAGAATGGTTAATCCTTTGCTTGGTTGCTAAGACACCAAACAGAAAAAGGGGATAACCAGTGACCAAAAAATTGTCGTCCATAAAATTTCCCCACTAACCGAACAGAAGAAAAGGCTTTAAGCCACGAATTTTCCTTCATTCCAGGCTCAGTTTCTCGGCAACCAAACAGGCACCGAATACCAAAAATAATAATAATATAACAGAGTGAAAGAAAATACCTCGCAAATACCATTAACAAGGTAGCCAAAGAAGAACCCAGAAGAGCAAAGGAGGAATTGTTGCCATTTGGGTCTGTCAGAGAGCGAAATCCCAAAAAGGAACCGAGCTTGCTCTTCGTTCTTCATCGATTTCAATCGGTTTTCTCACCGACCCAGCTGCGTACTGGCTGTATCGGGTATTGGGTACCCAATAAAACGCCCAGAAATTTCAAAATATAGGAGAAATTGGGGAGACAAAAATGGTGTATTTTTACCAAAACCCAATGCGGGAATATATGGAATTCATTACAGTTGGTGATGCACTTGCATGTTGATTATCCCAACACAAAGAAAAGAAGGAGAGAGGAAACTGATTTGTGTATATGAATATATATATTTATATATAAGGAAATTGGTATCGGGTTGATTACGGTAAGTATTTATTATTTACTTGTAAAGAATGATGTCATACAAGGAAAATCCAGACAGTGAGAGAGAGAGAGAGAGTTTGTATAGACTCAGGGTCGGAGCTCTTTGTATTGCACTCTTTGCCTCTCCGAGTCGGCAACTTGGCAGAGAATGAGAGAGAGAGAAAGGGGATTGTTGTTTTTGTTGCTGTTACACTTATTCTATAGGCTTATTTATATACTAAATCCTAATTCACTTTCTTGTTTTCCTCTACTCTTATGGTATCTTTATTTGGAAGGGAAAACTTTATGAATCGAAACAAGAATACGAAAATGGAATGATATTGGGAATAGGAAAAATTATTCTCTAATTAATATAATTAAACAGTTTTTCTTGACAAATAATATTATCTACACTAAATGGGAAGGGATAATCTCATAATAAGCTAGCAATAATAGGATTCAAATTCGTTTTTGACGAGAATCGAATCTAAGAAGAGGAACATCACTAGACCGTAGTACTAAGTGACAATTAGACCCTTTATTTAGACGTTATGGTTCAAGAAAATTGTAATTAAAATATATATTCATGCATATTTGCGAACTAAATGATGTCGTCAATAAGAAATAAGCACGTTAATCAACAGTTAAGTAATAATCCAATCATCAACATTCACATCATTTGATTTACAAAATTTGATTTAGAAATATGGACATCCTAACATTACCCGTAATTTTTTAGTGCCTATCATTTATTTGGTGTAAGAGCATCTTTGAAGATGTTAAAATGTCAAATCAGCACTAATAGTGAAAAAAAGACAACAACAATGTGTTTGAACTGAAAAGCCAAAACTCATATGGCTCAACATGGCCTAACAATCCTCAACTATGGTGCCAAAATTGATAGTAGCTCCAAATCTTTTGTTAATTGATTATTAAATACATTTTATTAGTTTTATTTTGTTTTTGGTTTTAAAACATTTATTAATAGTTTAATGTAATAAAATAAGAGTTTAATTTGACATATCAAGTGAAGACCAAAACTTAAAAAAATGATGCCTTGGCTTTGCCCAAACAATGTCAAATCAAGAAAATTATGGTGGAAGAGAGACTTAAATGTTTTATTGATGCAATTTTTGGAAAGTGTGCAGTACCAATACTATCATTTAAGCAGGGTGACATATTGCCATTGAACTCAGACCCTCAACGAGGGCGTTGAGACTTTTCAGAAAAAAAAAAAAAGAAAAAAAAAAGAAAAGATTTTTGGCTTAATCCGTCTTTATTATAGATCAAGGAGTACACTTCTACTTCGGCTAATAAGGGAAGGCTTTTTTTCAAATCCAAGTTTGACTTTGATTAGATCCTTAGCGAAAGAGCTAAGTAACGAGTAGATAATTTCACAGGAGCATAATCTATTTTCTAGTTAAATACATTACGAGATGTTTTTCCATACTTTCCGCATTCAATTCTAGCTATTTCTGCAAGAATTAGGTCCATTGTTGAAGAGATTAAATGGCTTGCCTCATAGTTCGAGTTGGTGGAATGGAATCATGTCTACAGGGAAGCAAACTTTACAGCGAATTATATCACTTCTCTTGAGCATAATTGTACTAATTTATATATTTGGGATGGGTGTGTTCCTACCCAAGCAAAAAACGCTCTCTTGTATGATTCTCGAGGCCTTTGGTATCTCCGAGGTTTTTCTTTAATTTAATCCTCTTTCTTCCTCAATAAACAAAAAACACAAAAAAACCAAAAAAAACAAAAACCAAAAAACAAAAAACAAAAAAACAATAGTTGTCAAATTTAAATTTTCACATCTCCTTTAAAAATACTCTAAATTATATATATATATATATATATATATATATATCTTTAAAATCTGCAAGTTAGATTCATATTTCAGTCTTTTGACTTACAGTTTATCTTATCTCTCAGTCCTCTAAATTATTTGTTTAAACTCTCCAACCAAACAGTAAGGTGTGGTCCAAACAATAAGTCCTAGGTAAAGGCATGAGCAGAGTGCATGAGCAGGGAAAGGGTTTAGCGAATACGCGAGGAAGGTGAATGAGTATAAGTTTTCTGTATTTTGATTGCTTGATTTGTGAATTTCATGAGTAGATTATTTAGATTTAATTCAATGGCCAGCGCTAGCTCTAGATCCAGTTTAGGTGCTATACCAAATATTATTAATGAAGAACAACAACTTGATTTTCAAACTAATGATAGTGTCGACTTTGGAGATTGGAACATCCCCAAGCTTTCAAGTAAAAATCTTTACAGAAAGAAATGGTCAGGAGCCTCATTTAGAAGTGAACATCATGTTAAAATTGTTGAAAACGCATATGCTCTTAGCAAGGAACATGAAACTTTTCAGTTGTTCTCTCCAGAACAAATTAAATCCCATAGGAAAGATGGTCATAACTACATCCACATTGGCTTAGTTTAGATAGCCGTAAAACCTTTAACGCGTAGAGGCCTTAATACCTCTATTTTGTTATGTCTTCGAGATGCTAGATTCACTAACTTTAGTGATAGTATAGTTGGAATGATTGAGTCAAGTCTTTACAATGGACCTATCCATTTTGATTGTTTTCCAGACCTTACCATGAGTCTTTCAAACGCCCCCACATGCTGAAAGCACTCACTCTTAATATCAAAACTTCAAGATACCAAGTCCTTGAAGGCACACAACCTTTGGCCTTAATATACAAAGTATATTATAAAGTCACTAGCACAAACATGAATTTCCAAGCTTTAACCAAGAGTCCAAGAGACCATACACTTTTAATTCAAACTAACCAGGAAAATGCAAATATTAAAGTCCCCAGAACCATTAGGTAGTAGCTATCCAAAACAGTCTAGTTAATTTAGACAACATTGAACAATATTTTGATGGAACTGTTAAAATCAATTTTGATCGTCCAGCAAAAAGATCTTGTGAGTCAGTCCACTCACATAAATCTTTTGCTACAAGTAGAAATTCTTTTTCTGGATCCATATCAACCGATAGGATGAGTCAAGATCAAGAGTTAATCAATTCAATAGCCATCAGAAAATTAAAGGTCGTAGCCTCCAGTCCGTCTGTCACCCAACAAGAATTAATAAATGACTTAATCAATATCAAGCTAAAATCAGTAGAAACAACCTCTCAGGTTACAAATTTGGTTTACCAACCCTAAACCCAAGATCAAGGAGAACAAACTTCTTCAACATAATCTGATTTTGACGCAGGTCAGATTCATCATCAACTTTTAGTTTTAAATAAACCTTTTAAACCAGACAGAAAAAAGCTCAATGCTGATATTGAAGCTGAAGAGAATATTCCAAGAAGGAATATTTTCAGAAATAAATATACAACAGAAGAAAAATTAGAAATTCATAAAAAATGGAAAGATTTTATGCAAACACACAGATTTGAAATATTTTTCTTTGATTATGTTGAAAAGTATTACGAGTTTGAAAAGAAATTGGAAGTAATAACTAAAGAAAATTGGCTTAAAGAAAACAAAACTATTGTCTCTTCTAGTCATCCCCCACAAGAAACAATTCTTATCACAACTGCTAATAAGCAAATCCCAGCTACTCCTTTCAAGCTTCCTAAGGAAGATGCAGGAGTAAAACCAGTCATCAAACAAAACAATTTTACTAACCAGAGTCTCCATACCATTGGAAAACAGTTAGATAAAATTGAAACTAAAATTGACAAACTTTCTCAGCCAAAATCGTTAATTAGGGAAAAACCCCTGGTTAACTTCCCAGAATCTTCTTCAAAAGCAATAACTTTAAAAACTCTCTTTACAAGTCAGAAAATTGATCAAATGTTAACATAATTGAAACAAGAAAAGACAGTTCATGTCTTAAAATATCCTTTTAGTCAATCCCAATTAGAAATATCTTCATCCTCCTTTGAGTCAGATGATGATTCAGATTTTATTCAAAAAGTTGAACAAGCTTTTCAAAATCTTGAACTCAAAAGGATTACCAACAAAAGAGTCAGCCCAACATCCCTTACCAAAAATTGGTATCCCAGGCCAACACCTCCGGATATCTAGTTCGAGGAAAGAAATATCCAAAATCAATTCTCAGTCTCTTCTAATAAACTCTATAATTGGAATATAGATGGTTTTTCAGAACAAGAACTCCTAAATAAACTTCAACATATCTCTATGGTTACTAATAGCTATATTACAAATCATAACCTCAGTTAAACACAAGTTGTCGACCTTTTGATCACTGGATTTATAGGAATGCTCCATTCCTGATGGGAGAAACATCTCACTGAATAATCCAGAAATGAAATAAAAAACGCTGTTACAAAAGATGAAGAAGGAATACCAATCTTTGATGAGCAAATTGGACAAGGAGTCCCAGATGCAGTCAATACATTGCTTTTGATAATAATAGAACATTTCATAGGAACACCTAGTAATGTTACCTCCAGAATCCATGATCAACTCAGCAATCTGAGATGTCCAACTCTAAGTGACTTTAGATGGTACAAAGATGTATTCATGTCTAGAGTCATGCTCAGAGAAGACAGTAATCAACCTTTTTGGGAACAAAATTTTATAAATGGATTACCAAACCTTTTTGCACACAAAATCAAAAGTGTCTTAGTCAACGAAGAAGGTATTATACCATATCATACCCTTACTTATGGAAATATAATTAATATTATCCAGAAAGAAGGCTTAAAAATGTGTATCGATATGAAAATTTCAAAACAAGTTAATAAAGACAAATCTATCGCTAAGTACAAGCTAGGAACGTTCTATGAACCTCAAACAAAAAGAAAAAATCTCAAGTTTATCATAAGTACTCTAACAAGTACTTAGGTAAATCTTATCCCAAATATAATAAATACAAATCCAAAAATAAACATTTTGAAACTAATAAGTTTTATGAAAAGCCTAAAACCAACAAGTGGAAGAGAAAACCCTTTAGAAAAATCCACTCCAAAAACCCAAAAAAAAAAAGAAAAGGAAATTGCTACAAGTGTGGCAAGTATGGACATTATGCCAATGATTGTCGTGTTAAGAAAACCATTAACCAGTTGAAAATCTCTGAGGAAGAGAAACTTCAATTAATCCAAGTCCTAGAACTTAGGAACAAAGACAATAGTCAATCAGAAGATGATTTGGAATTATCTTCTTCTGATAATAGTTCGTCAACCAACCTTTCATCTCCCGACATCAAGCTAGGAT